GAAATCCGGGATTTGAACCTGCTTCACTCGGTTTTCCAAACGAGCGCGTTCCCACTGGGCTACCACTACCTATAAAAAAATGGGATCCGCCGCTTTGAGAGAAGCCAGTTGCCAAGCTAGTCTAAGTTAAGCACCTGTTCAGATGAAACATTATGATGTAAATCTAAGTTTATACACATGAGTAAAATACACTTACAAAAAAGGAAATTTATCTAAATTCTTCATCATAAATCTTAATTTACAGGCGATTTCTCTATGTACTAAAATAAGCATTAAAAATGGATTCTACGTTTATACCTTTAAAGAACACTTCAAATAATATATAATAAATCGGGTGTTTATCTGTAGCGAATTCTTTGTTAAACATGTTAATTATAATATATTCAACGATCCCACTTATAATAATGAACTGCTCAAGTTTCGTCGTAATCTCGACGTCCGGACTAGAAGCCCGCCTTTGATTCTTGACACCGTGAATACTCATTTGGGTGCTAGCATTTAAATTTGACACCACTCTTAATTTGGAATGTTTATGTTTGGACACGTAAGTATGGTAGAGACTTGCTGGAGTTAGCTCCATTTTTTATTTTTCGGAATTTTCACTTTACTTGTGCTGCTATACCTAGCTTTAACCAAAATTGACAATTCTAGGTCAACCGGAAGTACCCTATAGGTTTTGGGTCGAAAACCTAAATGGTAGTTCCCGTTGACCTAGAATCACGATATTTGGCAATAAGCAAGGTCTTACAGCACAAATAAAGGAAAAAAGTCCCAAAAAAAAAATGAAAATTAAAGTTAAACAGATTTCCTACAAATTTGTACGGAACCCTCGGTGGGCGAGTCGAACTCGCACTTGTCCTTATTTTTTACTTTTAAGAATTTAGAAATCGATTTTTTTATTTTTATAGTACAACAACTTTGAATCCCAAAATGTATACAAATTGTACTAAGGAAAAAAAAAAAATTTTCTTTATCCAACGATACAAAGCCTGCTTTCTTCTGCGAAATTTAAAAATCTCAGTATGAGAGGTTTGGGACATACACACAGACATTTAAATTTATTATAATACATTTGATTAATTTCGTTTTTAAATGTAAAATGCAATAAGCAATATCAAGGATACTTTAAGTTACTGCATCGCCTCCATACTGGCCTCAACACGTGTTTCACATCGGGAAGTCGCTCGTAATGTTAATTTTAGAATACCTGCATGGTTTACATCACTTGTAGCATTTGTTAGCTTATGATAGGTGTATAATACACGAATTATGAGAACAGTAAGCGTGATAAGGTCTTTATATCATGAAAATTAAACCGATTTTAAAACTTCCTAAAAAGTTTTTTTTTATTTAGTTATTTATGTTCAAAAGAAAATATATAACTTATAAGAATAGAACTTCGGCTAAATGGAAAAATTACTTCTGTCTTGAAACAGGTTGGAGAAGTAGGTAATGATGCTGAAATAAATCGTCTCTTCGTTCTAATCGAAGTCAAAATATAAAAAGATTTCAAACAAACGGAAACTAGTTAGTATCTCTATATGCAATTTAAAACCGTCATAGCGCATTGAACTTCCAACACTAATGTCTGCTTAGAAGTTACCGGTTCGATTTCAGTTTATTGTATGGTCAATACAATTGTAGAGTCCGCTACTTAATGCAATACGGATATCGAAATAAAGGCTAAGCTAACCTCTAAACAAAAATTATAACTATAATAATTATATAAGAATTTAAATGAATAGAAATGTAAAAAATAAATAAATAAAAACATAGCGTAAACACAGGAAAAATGTATTTCATATTATGCAACGTTCAACTTTTCAATTATATGGAAACTATAAAAACCAATAAATATAAAAAATATTAGTCTCTTAACCATTTTTGTAAAATAAAAAGTGATATCAAAAATGCCTATTGGGTAAAGAAGAAATCTTTTGAAAATCTGTTATTAGCGTTATTTTTTACAAAAATTGTGTACAGACTAATATCTTCTAGACACGATTCTACTACACATCTTGGTCACAACACTATATATTTCATTGGATTATACCATACAAATGATAAATTATAAACTTCCTAATCCGTATTAATATTAATATTATAAAGTCTGTGAGTATGGATGTTTGTTACTCTTTCACGCCAGAACATCTAAACGGATCTAGATGAAATTTGGCACAGAGATAGATTACAGTCCGGAATAACACATAGGCTATTTTTTATCCCGGAAAAATGTACGGTTCCCGCGGGATAGATTCGTTTTTGTTTTAGCCGCTAGAAAATAATAATTGCATGCTGTATCTGCCTTAAAAGATAATGCATTTAGAATAAAGATAAACTTTTTTTATTTTTACTAAACAATATTGTATCAATTATCACTGGTGGATTTAAATAAATAAATAAATAAACAAGTCTATCGATAAATAACTTAACAAAAGATAAAAAGTATTTTTTTTACATAGTATACATATTTTATTTATTTTGTATCGTTTTATTACTATTCAAAAGAACCATGCACATAGTTTAATTCGTTCATTCAACTTCATTAGAGAAATTGTAATACAGTGAGAAAAAAACTCATTTTTTTATGTCATATAAAAAAGTATTGAAACAATACTTATTTTAGCAGAAATATTTAGCATCTAGAGACTTATCCTCGCGGGTGAGTCTCTTGGTATGTTGCATCTATCTATATATATAAAAAAATCGATGTGTGTATGTATGTTCCCTATGAATTTCAAAACGGTTAGAGTGATTTTTATGAAATTTTCACGCATACTTCAGATTAGTTTGTCTGTTGGTGATTAAGCCAGCGGGTGATCCTGTGAAGTTTGATAACGATGGGAAGCTTAAACGCGGGAGAAACTAAGGCGCTGCTTTTTCAAAAATTTACAGTATTCTATGTGTTACTACAGGTCATATTAGTAGGTCCATCTATGCACTAAATTTCATCAAAACCTGCCCAACAGTTTCAACGTGAAATCTAAAATCTATACATATAATATGATATAATAAAATTGTAACCAAGCCGAATCTGTACATTAAATATTTTTTTTGGAAAATCTTATTGAAATGAACATGCCGAATCTATAGTTTTTAGAATTTTTGTCTGTCTGTCTGTCTATCTGTCTGTCTGTCTGTCTGTTACCGCATCACAGAAAAACCACTGAAGGGATTTTGATGAAATTTGGTATGGCGATAGCTGGTTACCCGGGTCAACATATAGTATACGTTTTAAAGCGGGAAAATGTCTCGTTTTTGAGAAAAAATACAAAAACTGCAAAGTAAAAGTATACTAATATGTAAAAATTAAAACCTAAAAATTTGGTTTTTGGTCATCGCGGACGGAGCCGTGGGCAACGCTAGTATATCTATATAGTAGTCCGACTACAGGATTAGAGGTCATAGACTGGATGTTTACAAGAGGTCCATTTTTAATGTTAAAAAACACTGTTTCCATTTTACTAATTGAAACAGTGTTAACTTGTTCAGATATCAACAAACACGTTTAAACTAACCAACAATAGATTAAATATTTTTTTAATAGTTATGAGTGTAAAGAGGTCACAGTCTCTAAGCCATTGGCGTGGTAAGATATTGTGTTCGTACACATGCCAACGCTATTAATTAAGAAACGTATGATGTGTAAACCACTAGTTAATAAGAAATTCTACTAATACATATTATAAATGCGAAAGTTTATGAGGATGTATGGATGTTTGTTACTCTTTTACGCACTACTGAATGGATTTTAACGAAACTTTACAATAATATAGCTCATACATCAGAATAACACATAGACTGCTTTTTATCCCGGAAAAATGTAAGGTTCCTGTTCCGGGATAGATTTGTTTTTGTTTTTCCAGAGGCGAACCCGAGCAAAGCGAGGGTGAGCCGCTATAAACTATATTTGGTAACAAATTTTACTTTTCTTTTTATAAGTTGCTTTTTGGCTGTTTAATAATATAAACGTGTTTATAATATAAACAAAATTATTTTATTTATTATTTTATTTATTAAATAAATAAATTTTACATTAAAAGTATCGCAGTGTAATACATATTTAATCTATAAATATATAGGCTAAGACAAGAAAACGAAGACGTACTCTTATTTACCATCGAAGCATTGTACATTTGTTTTTGCTTACTGAATTTTAACACCGGCTCTATTCCAAAAAGAAAATCTGTGTATATTAGGGAAACTAACGAAAAGAACTCAACAACGATGACGATGAAAGTCTTTATTTTTCCATTTCTAGTGAAGACATAGTAGTAGCAATGTAAGAAGAACGTATTTCAAAAAAATCAATCATCCCCTATTTTCTACACTTAGGGGTGGATTTTTTTAAATTTAAATGGGACCAACTTTGATGTAAACCCTATACAATAAAAAAATAATCATCGAAATCGAACAACACTGTAAAAAGTTACGCATGGTCACACATAAAAAGTAAAAAAAACATACTAGTCGAATGAGAACCTCCTCCTTTTGTCCATCCGTTAATAAAAGTAAAGATTTTTAAGAATGAAATGAATTGTATGTTGATTCTTGGTGGTGATGACTTTGTTAGGAAATATAGTTTGTACAATGTTTAGTCTACTCTACATGTGCAAATGAATATAAATGAATATATGGCAACTTCCAGACAAAACCGGTACTGGTACATCTCTATTTCTTACAAATATTATGTTTATTGATTTTTCCTTCTTTATAACACGAACCGGAGTACTTTTTGCATACTGCAGTTTAAAGACCGAAGAGATATAGACTAGTTTTCATACCGGTGCAAAACATTCCCGTGGGATACGAGTCAACTCAAAAAACTGACCTACGAATCCTAATATTATATAAGAAAAATGATGATATCGTATCATAAAAATACATGGCCACGTTGTGTACATGACGGTAATATAGAAGTCCTATTTGCAGTTCATCGTATTAATAAAAGTACTAAAAATAAACTACCGGCCAACAAATGAGGGATAAAATTCTTATACCTGGTCGTTTTGGTCGTGGGTCAAGTAAAGCCAGCCTAGAAGAGCTTGTGGGCAGTTTTCAGTTTTGCCACACCACTGAGGTAGATCTCCGCCGAGGGCGGTGGGAGACATGGCAGCATCTGTGGGTCGAGCACTCAAAATCGCACTACACATATATATTGGAACACAATTCCTTCACTTTGATACTAAATTTGAAGTATTTTGTTCAGGCGTACATGGGTACGGCCGGGTGAATGGTATTTTTGGATCGCGCGTTGAACGGGATGCGCGCGCGCCGGCTACACTGTGACTAGCGGCGCTCCTTAAGACGGGAGATGGGGAATAGAGACGATCGTGCTTATTATCGACTGATGTCAGCAGTTTTAATTGTTACAGTGTATAGAAGTTTAACATATCATATGATACATGGACAATACTCATTTGACTTTATGAGTTATATTAAAATGTGATGCATGCATGATGCAAATATCGTTATTTTTAATTATGAATATTTAAAATTACTCAAAGATTATTTTGATGCAAATCGACCATTGAAATATATTGAAACATTTATGTAAGCTTAAAAAAATGTTAGGTATGTTATAAAGTAGAAGTTTGATGTAATCTGATAGTTCCATGTTTTCATATTTATAATCACTAAGAATACTTTTTTGCGTACAATGTATTATATAAAAACACTAATTTTATTAGTGGGTTTGCTTGCGTAGTTTATTAGTGTAAAATTACTCCCAATAACCATGACGTGATATAAGCTACAACCTACCTTAATTGATAGGCTTTTAAATGCAAAAATATTTAAAAAAATCGTTAGGGTCGATCGTCGATCGAACGTCTAAAAGCTCGTTAGAGCTTCAAAAAGATCAACCAACAGTAAACAATCTTAAACTTCTTAACATAGATCAGATAATTTTAAAATCTATCTGCAATTGTTATGACCATAGATTGTATAAACCAGGAATATATTAATTTAAATATGTAAGCAATTAATAATATATTTATATATTTTAAATTAATATGAGATAGCATTTATCGATAAATCTTAAGCCTACGTCCATCACTACGGACCATGTGGGCGCACCCAACGCGGGACTCCTTGGAGCAATATTTTCGTTCCCCCCTACCACGAACTATCGTTTAACCGAGCGAGTAAACAAGTGTACGTGCTTTTGTTTACTTTTAACCACGTAACTGATTCATCAATGAATTTCCAACTTCAGTTACAGTTAAGTTAGCTTTTACTGGAAGCTCACGAGGCCTGGTGTCTAAAAATATACCTACCTATAAAAATTATTTTTTACTTTAAAGATATTTTTTTAGATTAGTTAAATATTGACAAACAAACAAACAAAAAAAGATTAGTTAAATATGTTTATGTCGATTTACGCAGAAATTAACGTTTCTGATATCGATACAAAATGTTTGTTGCTTTTAGTTTGTATTACTTACACACAGCGTTGGGCAAATAAATTAACATTATATTTTTACCAACTTCAAAAGAAAGGTACTCGTTTATGGCGCTTTTTTAATGATTAGTTTTGCCCATCACTCATCAGGGCTAATAAAATTCCCCCTAAAAGGTGGAATAATTACTGTTAAAATGTTTAAAAACAATCAGTGTATGGTATGTAGTAGGTAATATAAATAGCCAAAGACAAAAAAGGTTAGTACCTTTTTTTTCTCTGTTTGTACACTGATTTTCTTTTTTTTTCTTAGTAGCTATTGACGAGCCTTTAATGTTATCATTAAAAAGATTGGGAACAGTTTTTTTGTATAGATAGTTAATTTCTATTTATCGTTTTATTAAATTTTTCAATAATTTGATTATGATCGAATTTGGACCATTGGACGAACACTAGCGGTATATAAATAACCAATTAGGCGTTTTACTTTATTCATATAAACAATATTTACTGAATTACACAGTTGTTCAATATGTATATTGTATTATATATATTACATACGGCAAAGCACTTCTCACTCTATAGACTCTATGTTAAGAATGAACGGTTGATTGTAAAAAATGTTGTTTAGGACCAAAATTTATGGAGCATTTAAAGCTTTTCAAGATTTTTCGTGACCTCTGATTGTATGAGAATGAAATTTATATAGTAAATTTTATTTCATCCTATGGGCTACTAGTACTACTATTATGGACTATAGTAGATAGATATAAATCAGTTTGTCGCAAAAAAATACTTTAAGGCGCGAGTTGATATAATACGAAATATGTATAATCGACTACCTACATAATAATATACAAAATACGAACAAAAAAAATATGATTTTAGTTCTTCGCGAAATTGTTATACCTACTACAAAATTTAATGTATTTAAAATTTATCATCGAATTAAATATATAAATTAGGACAAGTTTATAGTATTACTAAACATAAAACTCAGTAAATAGTCCACCATCGCCAGGGAGTTTGCAAAATAGTGTCTGTTTTTGATTACGGTCAAACAACGAACACGTGTTTCTTAAAGTTGTTCACATGTAGCATTCCCTTCTTACGCTTTTTCTTAAAAAAAATAATTTTATAAGTTTGTTTTAATAAAATTTATATTTATGTATTACTAGCGGCTAACCTTCGCTTCGCTGGGGTTCGTTCGCCTCTAGAAAAAAAAACAAATCTATCCCACGGGAAGCGTACATTTTTCCGGGATAAAAGTATATAGCCTATATGCTATTCCTAGACTATATATAATCTATCTCTGTGTCAAACATTCAGATCCGTTAGCCGTTCTGGCGTGATTAACAAACATCCAAACATCTAAACTTTCACATTGATTATCAAGTAGATTAGTAAGATGTGTTTGAACAATATTTATATAAGTATTGTTTATTCTTTATAATTATTTTATTTTTTATAATAAAATGCTTATAGCTCTGTTGGTACTTTTACGCACGTGGCTGTTTTTTGCATAACTGGGTCATGTAAATATATATTTTAACTATTTAAATATTATCATATCGAAGTTCACAAATCTTTAAGAAGGTATGATGTCTTCTCCACCGACTTCGGCCAAGTCGGCCAATCTCACGGAGACCAGCCATATACATAGGAGTAAGTGCGTAAGTAATACATTTAATTTTTTAATACATATTATAATTATATCAAATTAATCAAAATAACATTAGATGGAAAACAAAATTGTACTTTCAAGTTTAAATATTTAAAAATATAATTTAATTGAAATATATACAACGTATAAAATATATATATGTAGGTATAACAAACATAGACATAATAATATTATGTCTATGTTTGTTATACCTACAATTTTTTGTTTGTTCATTTATAAGTCCTTTTCAAACAGGTAGAAATGAAAATGTTATTGAGTCTTTTTGTATTCATACTGTGCGGATTAGCCATAGTTAAATTTCATTAAGTATAACAAACATAGACATAATATTATTATGTCTATGTTTGTTATACCTACATATATATATTTTATACGTTGTATATATTTCAATTAAATTATATTTTTAAATATTTAAACTTGAAAGTACAATTTTGTTTTCCATCTAATGTTATTTTGATTAATTTGATATAATTATAATATGTATTAAAAAATTAAATGTATTACTTACGCACTTACTCCTATGTATATGGCTGGTCTCCGTGAGATTGGCCGACTTGGCCGAAGTCGGTGGAGAAGACATCATACCTTCTTAAAGATTTGTGAACTTCGATATGATAATATTTAAATAGTTAAAATATATATTTACATTAAATTATACTGTTCGTCTGTTTGTTGTGCCTATAATATAAAAATATTTGAACTCAAAACCTCTTAGGTTAATACATAATTTATGTATGAATCATGAAGAAAATCTACCCACTTATTAAATGAAAAAAAAAAACATAAAAAATCTATGGCACTTCAATCTTTCTGTTTCTAAAGATCCCATAAAAATCTCTAGGTTTTAAATTAACGAAGTGAAGTAGAGTTGATTTATAATTAAACTTAAGCACTTTAAACATTTTACATATTTCGAGAACACTTAAAAATGTGTGTATGTTTGTTTAATATAATAATAAGAATAGTTTATTGTTCGTTTAAAAAAGTAGAGTCGAGTTCTCGTAATTTATGTGACACTTTGTATTTATCAAGTGCTGAAATACATAACGTACTTTGATATCCGTTCTATGAACGAAGACATTCTTGCTTATGTTATTTGTCTGTATGCCTTTTATTTATACTTATGATATACTAGCAGAACCCGCGGCTTCGGTTGCACTAAAACTACAAAAAAATCTCTAAAAAGGTAGTTTCATACAAACTTTCATCCTCTGTTTTACCCCCTTATAGCATGAATTTCAAAAAATGCTAAAACACGTATTTATTTAAATTTATTGAAGAGCATTAATACCAAGTTTAAAGCAATTCTGATCATAAATAGGTTTTTGAATCTTACTATAACGTGTTTTCCCGTGGGAGTTAGATAATCTCCCGCGGTAAAAAGTAGCCAATGTCACTCTCTAGCCCTCCAACTATCTCCACACAAAAGAATAGGCCAATCCGTCTCTCCGTTTCGACGTGAAAGACAGACAAACAAACAATTTAACAAACTTTCACATTTATAATATTAGTATGGGTATGAGCTCATTGTTTTTGATTTAATTTTAAGTGAGTGTTGAATGTGGTCATATATTTTCGACTACCGTTTCCACTTCAATTTATTTATTTGGTCATCTTACAGCGTTAAAAAAATAATAATAAAATATTGTAGTTCGAGGTCGGGTAAAAAGGATTATTGGGATTTTTTCTGACAAAAAACCGAATAGCATCACTTTATCGGATAACTAGTTATGGCTAAGATATTTAAATTTGCTGTCAAAAGCATAATATAATAAAAGGTACTGAAAAATTTAAATAAAAGATATATAAATAAAAAAAGATATATTAATTATAGTTCACTATATGTACTTGGGCTATTAAGGGTTCAAAACATAATATCGTAAACTTTACTCGATCAAAAAAAATCTGAAGAGGAGGTGAGTTCGACATTTTTTTGGTTTTTTTCTTTTATTCTTAAAAGCTTATGAAATCTTATAACCGTCACCATACTATCTTACAATATCTTGCATTTATGTAGTAGTCGGTCGAATTGTATCGGGATCGAAGTCGTTAACCTTATTACCGTACTG